TCGCCAACTCGGAAATAAGGGATCCATATACCAGCGACCTTAGCGCGCGCGCACACACATCCACAAATCCTTTTCCTCCGTCTTCTTACGCAACCTCGCGTTGCAGAGCGTACGTGGGCGTGTCTTATGATAGGGACGTACGCACGTATGTATGTGTGCGTGGCATATAATATAATATGATATATATATATATATATATATATATAACTACTTGCTCGTTCCCTGCCTCCCCAACCTACAGCGAGACCTTATCCCGTCAAGTGCGGTCTGCTATACGATGCACATCAGGGCCTCGCATCATTCTTTTGCGAGGCTCCACCCGGGCCGCTCGCGACCCAATCATACTTACCCATTATAATTGTACACCGGTTACCGTTGCTGCTGATGCTACTATACTCTGATACAAAAAGTTGCTCGATAAACTTTACGCACAAGTATACTTATATAAGTATTAAAGTCACGCGCTGAAAAGTAAGTAGGTATATATTTATATACTTGGATGGGTGTGTACTTATGAAAAAGTTGTGACTCGGCTGGCGTACGAAACAGCCGGCCATCACCGAGCTGTTCTTCCTAAACTTACGTAATCTTACTTGATAAACTATCCCTCGCCTTTTTTGTTCGCTACTATAGGTACATGCATGGCTAGGCAGAAATACACTTACGTAATACTTATATTCTTCAGCGGCGAGATGACACGAACTCATCCTACCCGGCATTTATTATTATGTCGTTATACATTTCGGTATCTCTCACGCATGCAAATTTTCAAGTTCGGTGTACCTGTATATATATATATATATATATATAAAACTATGTATAAGACGACACGCGACGCTGCTTGAATTACAAAGCCAGACCTAATACCCACGTTATAGGTTGGTATGCGTGTAGAGTACCTATACATATAGAGGGAATTTTGAGAGTGAGACACGGATCGGATCCTCCGAGTGTAATCCGAGTATTGACTCTGTCATCCCGCCTCCGCTTGACTTATGGATTTTCCGTGTTTACGAGGGGAAAAAAACGCTCTGCATAACTCAGGCACACGGAGAAACAAAACCTTGACCGAATTATCATGTATAAGAGAGGAGCACTGGGATCGGTATGTACATAAATATATTCGAACAAAGAGCACTCACATATTTAAGTGTTCGCTAATTATTCGTACGAAAAAAGGTGCATGGGCAGGATGTGATACCTATATTTATATTTCGTTGTCTTTAGCCCGTTGCTATACGATGATGCACGCTATTATAGGGTACAGGTATATAGGGATACAACTGCATAGCTGCAGCCGCTCTTCTTGTACTTGCTCTGTCCGTGACAGTTTCTCGTTAACGTCCCGTTGTGGCGTAACACGAGGTGCACGTGTATATTTATGATCATGCATCTATATACATTATACATTATAATATAATATGTACCTATCTCCTTTCCGGTCTCTGATGATTAACGAGCGCTTCCGTCGTCTCGGGCTCGTGCTCCCTCCTTCCGTCGTTTTACCAATTTTATATACAATTAAAGTTTATCATTAGCATCGTGATGGTTTGGAAGGCCATCGGAAGGTTCCACATATTTTTTTGTGCTTCAATTTCCGCCTCGTCACTTATGCGAACTGTTCAATATCGAGCAGCAGCAAATCAAATGGCTTTGGTTACAATATATTCCGGAGTTTTTATATATTAATACACGGTTCCCGTGCCAATTTCATTCTACGTCGTCCAATAAAATGGATATTTATTTATCATATCTCTCGCTTCATTTTTTATAACGCTCTACTCGTGACGTGTCCATGCATACGTACATAAATCTACATTTTTTTTTTTTTTTTTCGTCTCCTGATTTGGACCTTTTTTTTTTGTCATTGGAGAAGAATAACAAGAAAAAACGAGAGGCGTCGATTCAGTTCCATTACAAGTGAGTGCATTTTCAGATTTTCAAAGGGAGGCAACGGAGAAAACCATAAACTTTGCAAGTCCAAACGTATAGATGTACGTGATAGGTATATCGCGCATACGATAAGATCAATGACTGGCTAAAACGCCAAGTGAAAATTATTACCGTCAATTTTTTTTTTAATTTGAATCATTAGTGACACGTTGTATTTCTGTTTTATTTAATAGATAATAAATAAATTTATGAAAAATGAAAAAAGACTTTGTTGTTACAGAATATTACTCTCAGGATATAATATAAAACAGAGTCATTATTTAAAAATACGTGTGGAAATCTTATTGTTCTGCCACGATTGATGACACGAAACATAACGAAGGAAGTACTGGTTTATTCATTATTAATTCAAAAGATGATTGTACTACCTATTGGGTATACTATGTTGGTACGGATCGAAAGATGTTGTCCTTACGAGGGGATAATAGTGATGAAAAAAAACGACCGGAAAAATATAATAAATAATATTAAAATAAGGTAAAGCTACAGCATCATCAGATTCGGAAAACGAGATGCATCAGCGAAAGTAGTCGTAGCCGGCCGATTCGCATGCAGGCGTACAACGAGAGTATAGATACCGGGAGCTGTAGCGAAAAGCCGCTTACCACCTATGTATATAAGCAACAACCAACCCGACGAGCGTCGGAAGGCTTCTCTGCAGGAGTAGCTCTCGCAGAGAGAAAGAGGGTGAGAGATGAAAAGCTCATTTCTCGCGGTGCTTACGGCACTGCTCTGTATGTATATGCATGGCATACAATAATATCGCTTTCGCTGTATCGCGAGAGGTATCCTCGTGATGAAAGAGAGGCCGAATTAAATGCAGATACTTGGGTTAATACCCTGTGCCCTAAAGAAGTAGGTGATGTGTATGTATAGGTACACCGAGAGAAAGAGCTAGAGCCGTTTTAATTATTCCGCTTTTGCACGACTCGAGTACCGTGAGCGAGAGATCGTTATGGGATTAGCTCGAGAGCGGTTTTATGATTTCCGAGCCTCTCCCTCCAACCCACGCACACGAGGGAGCAGATTTTACTTTTCCCTCCATTTTGTTGTTGTTGTTGCTGTTGCCTTTACGGTCTTAAACCTTTGCAATTTGTTGTCCGTACACCTATCGGGATCTCTCCCCGCGCGGCTCTTTACGTACCATACTCGGAATATTCTGGTTAATATTATATCATATTATTATGTTGTATCTAATACTTATAAGTATGCATTTTAATACACTTGTGTTAATGATTGTACCCACTCTCGTGCAGTGATCCTGCATCCCGCGCGTAGTGGTTATCAAGTGATGGCCCATTATGCGCTCCTCAGCCAAATCGAGCTGTACTTGGCCGACTCGAGGGCATAAACATCATATATATGTAGTACGGCAGATATGCTCTGTAGTGGTATAAGAGCGCCTCGCTCATGATTAATTGTGGCCCGAGCAGAGCCACGCATACGTCGTATACCTACATCTATGTATATATTCCTGCCTGTCGAATATTGCACTGACAATGGATCAAAGGCTTACTTGTTAATGTCGACGAATGAATTTTCATCTCCAATTTATCACGAATTGGCTTTGAATACGCTGCTACTGTTGAGTTTTTTTTTTTTTTTTCACCCTCCACCATTTCCCGCGTCATTTTTCAACTTTCGATGATCATCCCCATTTGCAAGCCTGTTGCGACTATTGATTTCTATGCTGCTTGCCTACGTCTGGTTTCTTGGGATAATGCCCATCCGTGATTTTTTCCTGAAAATTTTTTAATTGAAACTGAATCCCACGGCACGCTGAAATTACGATTTTTTTTTCAAAGAGAACTGCAAATTTTCATCAGGATTAAGATTATATCCCGGATCAACGTAATTGAATCAACTGGAGGGAGAAATCTTCTTTTTTTTGCTGCTTCTTGCGGGGATGGTAATTTGTAGGGTGGGGACAAAAAGTAAGGCTTCGGTGCTAGGAGCACCACCACCACCACCACCCACCCCCTATATTGCAACAGTGATAACAGTATCCACCGTTATCACTGCTATACACGTTTGCAGTTCGTTAGTGAGTCTTCTGAAAAGTCGAAATGAATTTAGCCGACTCGCGTGCACTGCAACGTTACTTTTTGTAATTTTTTGCTGGATTTCGAGAATTCAACAAATCAAATCAGATTATCTACAAATCGATCGTTCCCTAACGACGCTGAGGTTCTAGTAAATGGGACCTTCTTTTTCGTTTCACGCGCGTCATTCGCCATCCCCATGCACGTGCACCTTTTTTCTCTTGCACCTTCTGTTGCATTATTCGTTTGTTTGTTTGTTTGTTCATTCGACATCATCATGCAAAGTCATTACAACTGTATTGTATAGGTAATGGTGATGTATGACGAGGTACGTCAACATACCTTAACCTTGTTGCTCGTTTGTATAAGTATATTCAATAACAAAGAGAATAAATAATAAGTCGGAGAAGGATAAAAAGATCAAGTCGTTGTTTCGGGATAACGTACACATACATACATGCACCCATGCGTGTATAAAGAGTCATGTAGTGTTCCCGTAAGTACTTATGTAGATGCGAGCTCATCTCGTGAGTGATAAATGCGAGCTTCGAATTTTTTCGAGAAAAGCCTCGTAATTTTTTTTAGATCTTCAGTCCTCATTATATCCGAGATCACGGCTTTGCAGAGTGAAATGAGGTTTGTTTGTTTGCCAACGTCTGTTTTTTTTTTTTTTTTTTTTTATCCACGCTTTGTCCGCCGCGTAAGTGTATTGTTTTAAGTTAATAAATAGGTAAATACCCTCAAGAGTTTTCACGTATTTATGTTGTTTTTCGAAACCTGGTGTTTTTACATGTGTCTGGGTAGTGTGATGATTGTATTATCTCCATAAATTTTGGGTATATACATTATCGTTGATATTCTTATGACTATAAATATATTATTACGAATATCATCAATATGTAGTTGAATAAAATGTAAGATCTAGGCATCTATGGAACTAACTAGTGACAACAACTATTGAATCAGCTAGTCAAACAGAAATAGAGAGAAATAATGATTACTTACAAGAAAAAACGGCTGCAGAGACTGCAGCATCCCTATCTACGTCGTACAACTGAAAAAGAAAGAAAAGCCAGTTCCGTGAGTTTGTCCTCTTTTGCGAATAACACACAATATATTGTCAACTACTGCTGCTGCTGTGCCCAGTCATAAACTTTAAACGACGCCGAGAATTAAAATTCTCATCGCCTTTTCGCAGTGTAAAAGGAGGGAGGGGGTGGGGGTTGAAAGTCTATGGGTTCCTCCTCTCGTTGCCAACAACTTTGTAAATAAAGGGGGACAGGGAGACCGAGAGGGGCAGGGGAATCGTGCGAAGGAACGGAGCAGAAAAACTCTTGGCAGAAATATTTCAGCCAGAAAAGTTGGCCCGCCAAGACAAAAAGTGAGCGTGAGTGAATAAAGAATAAAGAAAAAATCCTCCCTCGAAACCTCTCCATACTTGCTCTTTCCGTCGATAAACGACGCCTCGAGCGATTAATCCACTGTTCAGTGGATTTTTTTTTGTTTCGTCAGGTGAGGGTTTCCATTTTATTTCACTCTGGTAAGCCATCAAGTCTCTAGTTCGAATCAAACCAAGTAGATCAACCTATTTTCTATCTCATGACGATTCGCTTGTTTACTTGAGATTTATATATAAAATTAACCGTGCGGCGGTATCGTCGTAGAGACGCTGCGATATTTCGGGGTAAAGTAAACACATCACAGCTGGCGAGCCGTATAAGGGCGAGGAAAATTTACGAGTTTTATACATTTTCCCCTTGGCTCTGTCGCGTGGGAAAAAAGGGCAAAAACAAAAAGTGTCCATTAGCCGAGCGGTAAAAGCGCGTGTGCACCTATACATATATGTAATTATATCCTAAGCAATGACGCACCTACATTGAAAACTGGAAATTCAATCGTGTCACGTTAGGAGTTGGGGGTGTGGGTCGAGGGGAAAAACACAGACGGAGGCAGCAAAAGGTTCCAGTGAAAGGCAGCTCGAAATGTTGAGGTCCACTACAGCCGAAAGAAGAGAGAATATTGGCGCGCAAGTGGGGCGCGCGGACGATAAAGCACATTAGCACGAGCGCGCGAACTACAAAACGCCGGGTAATGTCATTTCTCGCTCGCGCGCGTCGAGAGAGGAGGGGAGGGAGAGCTTCGTGCTCTGCGGCCGAGCAAACACTGATCCCTCGCTAAAACTCGGACGATCTTCCATCCGCGGTTGACGAAGATAGCAGCTGCGTGTACTAGCTGACCGGGTGTATACAGCAACTGTTCGGAAAGAGAGACGGATGGATGGATGGATGGAGGACAAAACGCGCGCCGCGGATTAGGCGCATTATACAGAGTCCCGCACGCGCTGACGATATATTTATATTCTGTTCCGCCAACTAACTGCGTATGTATATTATGTACACGCTCTGTACGTGTGTCTGATGCATAAGTAGGAGAGTCACATATGTATATACCGTACGTGTAAAATGCACCGCGGATGGGTTTCGTGATCTGGACCGACACACATTTCGTCTTTCAATATTTCGCGTGTGGGTACCTTTTTTTCTCGCCATCCTCTGTCTTTTTCTTTATTGTACATTCTGCAGTCGCGGAAGTTGATAGGCCTATATTTTTTTTTTTTTTTTTTTCAAATAGTTAAAAAAATTGTGTCAATGAAACTATCGATCAAGTGCAGTGCCAACGAAAATGTACGCGTATTGACGTAGAAAATGACGAAATGGAAAGGTGATGCGCAAGCGGTGATCGTATTATAGATATAATAATAATAATAATAATAACAACAATAATACGTAATGACGCGCGTAAAAATGTTTGCATTGGCTCAGAACTGAACTAAACAGAAAGTATTTATCGTGCATCACAAATGCAGTACACGAGGTATGATAAAAAATCTTTAGTTTTTTTCGTTATTAATTATTATTATGACTTTTCCACAAGCCCATGGAAAAATTTTTATTGGTGGTGTATATACTTACTAGGTACCTTCACACAGTGCGCGATGAATGAGTTACCATGAAAAATTTAAGACGACGTTCAAGAGTGTTAATGTATTCTTTTGCATTTTCGCGAGTGCATCACAGCATAAGTAAAAACTCGGGAATGAAGAGTTTCGAGAAAAGTTAGTTTTCTTATGAATAATGTCATCTATAAAAATTTACATAAAACGTGCACCGGTGGTATACATTTTCATGTACCTCACAGCACATAAAAAAAAAAAAAAAAAAAAAAAAAAAANAAAAAAAAAAAAAAAAAAAAAAAAAAAAAAAAAAAAAAAAAAAAAAGTAAGCGAGAATAGGTACACGTATACATATACAAAAATTTACACATTTTATACACGAAATTACATTCGTACAAATGCGCTCTTCTACCTCTGATTATTTTTATGGATAGTCTCTACATGTACTCTATGTACCCCAAAAGCTATGTAACATTCTCTTTCCCAACTTTCCCTTTTCTTCGATTATTGTATGATAGTACGAATATTTTATTAATATAATTGAACAACGTTACCTTATTACTATCATTATTATTATTATTTAAAAAAAATTTTTTTTTTCTCAAAAATGATAATACTTTCGAAAAAGTTCACGGTTTTGCATTTACATGTAAATGAATGCATCAACGAAAGTAGGTATACACGTATTTTTTTCGAAAACGAACGGTGTTTTCGCAGCTGTAGGTGACAAAAATAAAGAAAAAATAAAAATAAAAATCAAGTATAAAGAAGAGAGTGAGAGAGAGAGAGAGAGAGAGGTGACACGAGTGCGCGCTCCGGGAATATTATTTCTGGTAGCGACACTCTCTACGCTGTGGTTCAGAGAGTGGACCGTGCGAAGCTTTTTCGGTATAGCGGCGCTCTACACGTCAACCGAAATAACTTGCAAAGTGTGAAAACTCATTTGTACGGAAGGCTCAGTCGGAAAAATTAAATTTTTTTCTTCATCATTGACGATTATTTGTTATCAACTAATTAAAAATAAAATCCCCAAGCCTTTTTCCCATGCATGTGCATACGAATGATGTATTATGTAACGTACGTGCAAGAGAGAGAAACGTTTAAAAATGTCGTACCTACTGCAGACTGTACCTACCGATCCAATTAAATCGGGGCTGTGCTACAATTTGATTGATTGAAATATCGAATTTCATGGTCACTCGGTTCAGTTATAGATCGTAGGGATAAAAAACACTTGATACTTTTGATATAGCCTAAAAATACCTTCATGAGCGGGAACCCGCGGAACGCGCCAGCCGCATTTCTATACACCGTAATACCCTAGGCTGGCGCTGCGCAAACTTCTTTTTCCGTGACACTGGGCTTTACCCATTATACTTAGTTAAATTCTTCTTTCTTTTTCCTCTTTTTCGTATACACGAATCGATATGATTCATGCCTATTTCATCAAAGTGCAGTTCTTTATTTGTTTCTCTTTCTTTTCTTCAATTTCATCGTGAGAGACAAGTTTAGTTATAATCTCTGGTGGCAGTCGATAGAGTATCCGATGGTCAGACGGAGCAAAACTGCCACCGAGAAAGAGTGAAAAACTACCACTGACCCGCCACTCTTTGAAATTTCCATTGAACGCCAAACGTGCTGTGTATATCCATACATCGGGAGATCCCGTAGCCATGGCAACCTCTCTCTCCTCTCGCTCAGGTGCAAGTCTACACGTACTCATACGTATAGGTTTCGAGCTCTGTCGCTGCTCTTCCACTCCGTTCACTGCCCCTCTGCAATACTAGTGACTGCTGCACGATCATCGTAGAATAAAGCATCGCAGGTCACGGCCGTCCAACTTCTTGTTACAAGTGTAGGTACATCGCCCTTCCACCCAACTCCCTCATCTTCACCCTATCAACGCTACGATGTATACGTATATATATAAAGCGTCTGTCTTCCTGTATCTAATTCGGCTGACGGTAATTCCTAATCGACGATCTCGAGCAGCAAAGAACGCAGTCGTGCGCAGAGCCCATCGTCGGAATCCCTGGAGATATTATTGATTTCACTTTCACCTCAACGCCTTTGATACCTCGTAGTCGTCGTCTCTCGATAAAATATGACCCAACGACGACGGCACAATTAAGCCCCGACTCCGTTTGCCGTTGGGGCAGGGTAGGAAGAAAAAAAATTGGGAGCGAACGAGCTGGGGTGGCCGTAAGTTAGAGCGAGAGATGCGTACCACGGCGCATGTTAGAGGATCGATAGCGGTAGCAGCAGCAGCAGGACACATCCCCCTTTTCTCACTCCCATTCTAACTCTGCTACGGCTACCTCCGTCTTTATTCTCATTCCACCCTACTACTACCGCGTTACATCTGCGCGGTGGATATTTGCCGTTTACTCTTTCTGCTTCCAATTATTATTCCACGACTGGCCAGAGTATACCTCAACACTCCTGCAAGGTCGATTTTTTTTTTTTTTTTTTTTTATCGTTACCATCCCTTCTGTTCGGCTCTTTCGGCACTTTCTTCTTTCTCGTTTGTAGTTTTTATCTCGATTTACCTGCACACCGTGTATTTGCAAAATTTTTTTTTTTTTTCTTTGCCCAACAACGGCATCCGCAGAGCTGACAAGTATACCACCACGCCCCTCCCCCTCCCCGTTGCTATCCAAATCATTGACGAGTCCCGCGATATAAAATTCCGTGCAATGGCATGGCTTCTTATCATCCGATGTGATGATGAGGATGCTGAGAGAAGGCAGTGCGAAAGGCTTGTTTCCCTTATCTTTGGCATCATCGTAGTCGTCGGGGCTGATATTTTTATTGGCATCGGCACCCGCGTCCCGTTATATCACAGCTGGCAGACGGGGCATGTAGAGCCCACCCTCGTCATTCGATCGGTAGGTTGCTTAACCAAACGGGAGAACGCGCCGATTGAATCTTCGTTCGACACTTGCTCGGGAAAATTGATGACAAAGATCCTAAACGTATACACAATACTTATGACGCAATAGCATCAACAACAACGACGCCGTTACTTTTAGCTCGTGCTCCTCCTCCCTTCTTCATACACATCAGGGTTCTTCCGGTCGTCGCGTATGCTTGTTCTCATTCCCGATTGAATGGAGATAATAGAGCAACAGTAGCTCGCCAATGCGTCTCCAAAACCCGAGATGTCACAATATATATATATATATATTTTGCTCCTGTATCGGTTGGAGTGCGATTGTGCGACGCAAGAGTATATTTACACAAAAAGGTTGGCTCCTCGGGCGCGTGGTGCCTACGTTGTATACATATGGGGGATGGACGAGTGTATACGAATTTGTCGGCCAAACGTGCCTTGGGAGCTACTACCCGCAGTAGGCAAACATTCACGAAGAGAGAGAGAGAGAGCTGTCGCGTGTGTATCGTCGAGTCGAGGGACCACCGACGCAAACAAGATTATATAAGTGACTCGCAGGAGGGCGGCAATAAGTGGGGTTTGCTAATACATACATACCAGGGCAAATCCCGGCGCCGGCGTTTCATCCGCTGTCGGTGTCCTCATGTATTCATGGAATATCCTAATTGAAATTCGAGGACAAGCAGAGGCGAGGGAGGCCACGACTACTCGCGAGAACTTTTCAACAAACTCCCTCGCTCGATTCGACTTGACTCGCGGACGGCGAAGCGTCGGCCGATCGAATTAAACTCCCGCGAACTTTCGAGCTTCTCCCCAACACCCACCCTTGGATGTAACATGTCGGACACTGGTGGCCGAGGAGGAAGGCGCGTGTAAATGAAAGACCCACACCGCGATTGATCACGCGAGCCCCGTTGTAGGTATAACCCGAGAGGTAATAAGACACTGCACGTGCGTGTCGTCGAAACGGTGGAAAGCAGCGGGCCCGCATTCCGGGCTGCTGGCGCTCGTAAAATGCCAGGCACTCCCGAGAGCCTCGGGATCGGAGAGTGCTGGTAGGTATAATAATAAACTCGATAGCTGCTGCACTTGGCCGTCTCTCTATCATCCACCTTCCTCTGTGTCCAAGTGGTGCAAAAGCCTCCGGCTGCTGACCATACACACGTGTACAATATACATTGTATCATCCGAAGCCTCATTGTCGGTCCATCGGGTGTGTGGTGCAGGTAACTTGTTCATTC